ATATATATATATATATTTGGGAGAAGGGACCACAACCACAAACGCCAGTACATATAGTTAGAGAAGAACATAATAACGGATCATCAAAAAGGAGACCACAAACATTAACACTTAGTTTCTATGGGTCACTCATCTTCGAGAGGAAGAGAGAAGAGAATAATAAAAGAGTGAAAACATGAAAGAATGGATTGAATTCAGTAGGTCAATTTATCGGTCTGAGTTAGACTAGATAACCACTATCTCATTCGTTGAATCTGTTAACTTGGTTAGTCAACTTGCTTGAACTTATCAACCTGTTTTTTTTTTTTTTTTTTTATATTCTTAAAAAAATTGTAATAGATTTATATTAGATTAATATTTTTATTTTTAAGCTTAACTTCTCTTTCTTGGTATTTATTTTTCTCATTTTATTCAGAATAGAAGTATATTGTTTAAATCACATGTTTTTACTAATACATTTTTATTTATAGTTTTTTTTAATAGAAATATATATTACTTTATCTTTTTGCATGAATAAATATAACTCTCCTAATCAACTTTACAAATAATAATAACATTATAGGATAAAATGATGATGTATATTAAAGTTCTTCAATTGGGTTTTATTATTTTTAATTCACGTGGGTTAACTCACCAACCCACATTTTTTTACCTCCAATTCATTAAAATGGATCAACTAGTGTTTTTAGTGGGTCAACCCCGCATTCCTTTCCTTTAGGTAGATTGGTCCACATTCTCACTAATGCTTTGTTTGGGAAAAAGAGAGGAATTAAAGTGAATGACAAATAATATGTGAGAATTGATTCGGTAGAAAATAGAGTGAGAGTGAAATTTATAATTGTTTTATAGAATAGAATTAGGTAAGAAATAGAGAAAAATTAGTATTTTAAAATTGTATTTTTAATATATCCAACTGTTATTCGGTAGAATGAGACCAAAAAAAACCAATGCATAAAAGTTTGTCTTTATATGAAACTTTTAGCAAATCTCCTTTCTTTTGGAAGTATTTTTTTCTTCGTGAAACCACTATTATTTACCCTCAAATCCTCACAATCACTCTCTTCAAACAACCTAACCTTTTTCAATTCTTTACTAATCATTTTTCTTCTCTTCTAATCCACACTAAATCATGTTCTCCAAATAAACTCCAAAAGAAAGGATGGATACCTCTCCTATCTTTTTCCCTGTTTCCAGAAAAAAATAATAATAATTAACTTTTTAGGGTTTTCCAGAACTGAGTCGTACATGACCCGACCCGATTTGGGAACACGACCTACTTGGCCAAAATCGTGATTTACCATGAAATCACAATTCATGCAATTCAAGAGCGAAACATGCAATTCACTAAACAATTCATGCACAAACAAGAATGCAATACGTATTGTGCATCCTACAGTACTTACTACTATTGGTCCCACACCATTATCCATCATTCACTTTTACTTTTTACAACTTCAACAACTATTCTTTTCAACCAAACAAAGTCCAAGAATTTTACTAAATCGTCCTACCCATGGCCTTACATAGTTACATTCATCAACATTATTTTCTATTTTTTCCATCAGCATTTTTTCATAACAAATGCAAAACTTTATTAACATTTATTATTGTCCAGGAATAATTTTAACACCAGTGATTAAATAATCCCATATGACTCTTGTTTCGCATCAACACTAATTAAGTCTACCGCACTCAACCACCTCCATTGGAGGTGCTCTTTTGTCACTATTATTATGTAGGTTAGATAAGACTTTAGTTTTGATAGAAGAACACAAACAGTACTTATGCTAATGCATCTAAGTTGTCCTGATAACATATATATGCATGTAAGTGCCTATGTCATGTCATGTTAGTTAAACAATTCTATCAGCTCAACTGCCAAAGTTTCCACCAACCTCTCTAATTCATTGTGAGTACGACTGTACGAGGTTTACTTAAAAACTTTGCATAACCTGTTGTCAGTTGCTATTGATTATTCCTGTGCTTCTCCTTGTCATTTTCCAACCATGCTCAATAGCTTCTGGACTTTTAAAATTAAAGTTAGTCTGTTGTGGTACTTTTGAAGATTTAAATAAAATAATTCAAAACTTTCTTGCGTGTTTATATTTTCATTTATATCAATTTCTTTTGTAGGTTGGGGACCTCATGCATATTTCCGGATGTTGGCTGAATCTAATGTTGTTCAAACTTCTTCGAGCAACGATGATAATTTTTATGCGCAACATGCTGGGGTTCAGATTGTGTCTGTGTCTATCCCACCTCAACATGAAGGCGATAATGCACGAGTTAATAGATGGGACTCCAACCCCATGTCAGATGGATCACAGAATGCAAGGGTACACTGACTATACATTAAGAGTAGCATAAAGCCAGAGGAAAGAGTCACCACATGTCCATAATGTGTAACAAATATAAGGGCTCGAGTAATGATTCTTTTATACGATACCATGAGCTTGTTTGGATATATGAGTTAGAAATGTTTTTTTGAAAGTTTCTCTATTGAAAATATTAAATATTTTTTGATAGAGAAATTCTCAAAAGTGATTCTAAGTTTGTATCTAGGCTATAGTATCATCGAGTGTTACAAATGAGCTATGTTAATTACTTTAGTTGAGATGTTGGTTAGAATAGGAATATTTTCTTAATCGTCTTTTTTGGCCATCTTGCTTATAAGTTGGTATAGTCACGATATTGTAATTATGTCTGCTACACGAATAAAAAAAGTATTTCATGACTCTTGATATTTATTTTGAAAAATAAAATAAAATAAAACTAAGTGAATAATCATTCAAGGAATATAGTAGATATTAAAAATATTCTTCATTTCTTAATTTTATTGTTTTTAATAACAGAAAAGTATAATAGTCCAACAAATATAAAATAATTAGGATTGACCAAATAGTTGAGAATTTGGGTAGTACATAGAGTCCTAAGTTCGAACTTGATACTATTATTGTAATTATGATAAATAAAAAATATTAATAAATATAAGGATTAGGAATAATTACTAATGAGAGTATATTGTTAAGTCAGACGAAGCACATTTGCAATTCTCACCAAGGTTTTGAATATGACTGTACTGTCTGTACTGCAAAAAGCCGAGCTCCGAGCTCGGCATCACAGCACAAGATGAGGTCGGGCACGCGCTACGCGACGTCAGCTCGGCATTTAAGCAGATCATAACTGATCTCGAAGGATCTCGCTTCAGACGAGATCCACTATCTAATCTTATTATATCTTATCTCAGGCCCAAGGCTCAAAGCAACCCTAATTCACACCAAGGTACGTGCATTACTTATACGAGATTCATACTCCCACAAACACTAACTTTAGCATTGGAGTCTCTTTTGCAGGTACCACTCCCATATTGGAGCATCAAGCGTACCAGTGAAGGAGGCTCACCGATCTTACCTGGCGGATCAGCTCTACAGCAGATTTCCGGTAAGAACATTTGACGCCCATCGTGGGGCCGATCAAGACAGCTCTTATCGGCCACACTTATGGTTTTCACCAGAAACCATAGCAGACGCGTAACGGACGACCTAGATCACACCACTAACATGGAAAACGAAGCAGCATTAAGACAACTGATCGAGCAGGTCGAGCAGATGCAGCAGCAACGCCCCGCAGATCTACAAAGTATGCGTGCCAAGCACGAAACCGACCTAACCGCGATGCGGACCGTCAATGAGGCTGACCTAGCGACTCTACGCACGGAAAACAAAGGGATCCGCGCTCAACTCCCGCAGCGAAATTCTGATCACCCCCTCATACAAACAACCGCAATGAGGAGGAGGAACACTCCACCCCCCGCGACCAAGGTCGAGGAAAAGGACAAGGACGAGACAGAGGTCATACGGAACAGCCCTCTGCCTCCCAACTCAACCCCAGAGGAGCAATGCGAGCCGAGGTCAGCCAGGAAAAAGTACCAACTCCCCTACAGGGAGTAATCAGTACAATCGCAGGTAGTTTCGCAGGAGGGGGCGCCAGCAGCTCGGCCCGAAAAAGACACCTGGGCAACGTCAACCACACACACTTCACCACCTCAGCTCCGCACCAGAGTGCACCGACGATTACTTTCACAAATGACGACTATGCCGGGGTTAACCCCAACCAGGACGATCCCATGGTTATAGCCGTAGCGGTAGCCAATTGGGAGGTTCACAAAACGCTGATCGACCAAGGGAGCTCGGCCGACATCCTGTATTGGCCAACGTTCCTCAGGTTAGACGTCCCCCACTCTCTCATACAACCTCACACAGAGCCCCTAGTCGGTTTTGCAGGAAGAAGCGTTCACACGCTGGGGTACGTGGACCTACTGACAACTTTCGGAGCACCTCCGGATACGAGACGGATCATGGTTCGATACGTCCTCGTGGAAGCCGACACCTCCTATAACATCATCATCGAGAGGCCAACCTTGAACCAACTCGGAGCGGTGGTATCCACCCCACACCTCACCATGAAATTCCCAGGGCATGATGGGAAAGTTATCTCCGTCAAGGCAAATCAGAAGACGGCACGACAATGCTACGCCGAAAGCCTGGAAATCGCCTCACTTGGTGAACAGTGCAAGAGCGACCCCACCTCCTTGGCTCATGCCAACCACGAAGAAATCACCGATCTCGACCCAAGATCCGACTCTCACGACGAACGGCCTAGCCCCATTGACGAGCTCGATGACCTTCAGATCGGGAAACTCCCCAGGAAATCCACGAAGATCAGCAGACAGTTGACCCTAGAGTTGCGACAGCAACTCGAAGCGGAAATCCTCAAAAACGCCGACCTCTTCGCCTGGTCCAGCGCCGATATGCCGGGCATAGACGCTGATTTTATCTGCCACAAGTTAGCAATACACAAGGAGGCAAAACCAGTCGCCCAGCGGAAGAGGAAGGTGGGCGGCGAAAGGCGGGAGGCCATCGTCGCCGAAACGCAGAAACTGCTGAATGCCAGCTTCATCCGTGAGGTCAGGTACACCACATGGCTGGCGAACGTGGTCCTAGTAAAAAAGAACTCAGGAAAGTGGCGGATGTGCGTCGACTACACCAATCTGAACAAAGCATGTCCCAAGGACTCATACCCCTTGCCGAGCATTGACAGGTTGGTCGACGAAGCCTCCGGACACGCCCTCCTCAGCTTCCTCGATGCCTACTCCGGGTACAACCAGATAATGATGCACCCACCTGACGAAGTGCATACATCCTTCATCACAGACCACACCAACTACTGCTACCGGGTGATGCCCTTCGGCCTCAAAAACGCAGGCGCAACCTACCAGCGGCTGATGGATAAGGTTTTCCAACAACAGATCGAGAGGAACATGGAAGTCTACGTCGACGACATGGTGGTCAAGACCACCTCGGCAGAAGACCATGCTGCCGACCTCGCCAAAGTATTCGCCCAGGTCAGGAAGCACAACATGCGCCTCACCCGGAGAAATGTGTCTTCGGCGTCCAGGGAGGCAAGTTCCTCGGCTTCATGATCACTAGCAGAGGAATTGAGGCCAATCCCGAGAAGTCACTACAAGAATTTTGCGGATTCGCGAGGGAATTTAGCGAGGGATATAATTCCTCTCTAATTCCTCGCTAATTAGCGAGCAAATAGCTTGGATTTATATCCCTAGCTAAATTCCCTCGCTATTTTGCAACCAACCTTTGTCTCCTTGCAAATCCTTCGCTAAAGTTAGTGCTTCTTTAGCGAGAAACTTAGTCCCTCGCAAATGCCTTGCAAATCCCTCTCCAAATTATGAGCCAAAATAAAAAAATAAATTTTTCATCTTGCAAGGGAGTTTTCTTGTCGCAAATTCCTCGCTTATGAGTTATAAGTATAGCCCTCGCAAATTCCTCGCAAATCCTTCGCAAATTAGGGAGGGAAATTTTTTTTCGCTAATCCCTCGCAAACACTACAAGAATTTTGCGGATTAGCGAGGGAATTTAGCAAGGAAATAGCTTGGATTTATATCCCTCGCTAAATAGGAACATTTTACGACCAACCTTTATCTCCTCGCAAATCCTTCGCTAAAGTTAGTGCTTATTTAGCGAGAAATTGAAGCCCTCGCAAATGCCTAGCAAATCCCTCTCCAAATTATGACCCAAAATAAAAAAATGAATTTTTCATCTAGCGAGGGTTTTTTCTTGTCGCAAATCCCTCGCTAATGAGTTATAAGTATATCCCTCGCAAATCTGTCGCAAATCCTTCGCAAATTAGTGAGGGAAAAGTATTTTCGCTAATCCCTCGCAAATAAGAGATTACGTTGCTTGCAATACCCTAAAAAATGTCTCGCAAATTTAGAGAACAAAAGTCTTGCAAATTGACTAATATTATCTAATATTTTTTAATTATTGAATATTTAAAAATATTTTTAGATTTATTAAATATATCTAATATTAATTTTAAAAATTATTAAATATTATCTAATATAATCTATTAAATAAAATTATTGATTAAAAGATAAAGCATACAAATTTTTAGAATCAATTTATTGAATAAGAAATTCAATATATAACGTAATTACATTTATTAAATAACTCGTTTAAGAGATTAGCCGCGTTAAATCTTAGGGCCAGCTATCCTACCTTTTGAGGTACCTTCAACATAGTGAGGAGATTAGTCACTGTTATCGACCCTGAATACTTCAGGAACGAACGTAAAAAAAATAATTAATGATTTATCAAAATAACAAACAAAGAACAATAAAAATTAAAAATCATACTAAATAATTTCTTAAATTTTGATATCTTTAAAGTTAATCCCCTTAAACTTTATAAAAATAAAAAAGTTAACCCTTAAACATCAATAAAGTATATTAATTTAGACATTAAATCAATAGTTTTTTTTAAAGATTATTACACAATTTTTTTTAAATTAGTATTACTTCTATAAGAAAAAAAATACTATTTATAATATCAATTTAATTAGTCAGATCAAATATTAAGTCTTAACTCTTACAAATATAAAGAATTTAAGTTGAGAGAGAATATAATATATACTTATTTAGTCTTAACTCGCACAATGACGGTGTTTTTCGCTAGGCAGGTGTTTCCGGTGGACTACGTGGCCGAAGTGTCGCAGCGCCTTCTAGAAGCCTCTCACTCCGGCGATCTCCCCCTCGCCTTCCACTGCATTGCCGATCCCTCCGTCGACGTCAACTTCGCCGGCGCCGTTACGCTCAAGACCGCCGCCGCCGACCTCCTCCTCCTCCCGGAATCCCCCAGCCAGGTCCGCCTCCACTTCCAGGAATTCGTCTCCGACGTCTCGCCGCTCCTCCTCGCCGTCCACGCCGCCAATGCCGCCAACGCCGATTTTGACTGTTTTATCCTTTTCATAAGTGTGGATTCATTGATTTTGAATTTGAATTTGAATTTGAATTTGAATTTGAACTGTTTTGTTTGCTCAGCTTGAGTGAACAATTCGCTGAGAGTGGCATTGTTGTTAACATTTCTGAAAATTTCACATAGAAAATGTGGGTTTCTCCTTTTGGTTTGCTATTTTAAAAAAATACTACTAGAAAATGTGGTTATCTGAAAGTAATTTTTGTTGTCATGAAATGATTTTCAAAATTTATGATTATCAGAAATCATGATTTTTATGTACGGAATTTTTTTTTCGTGTACTAATCTTAGAAATTTCTTCTTGCAAGTTCAAAATCAAAACTTCTATACCTCTGTTTTAATTTTCAAAACGGAAAAAGATATAACAGCTCTTGGCTCCATTCGTGTTTAATTTATTTCAAAC